TTCATTTCCCACCAGCTACGCTCTTTAAATTCAATTCCACCTTTCCCCCTCCCCTTACTTTTTCAGCTTCCTTTTGTCTGTGATCTTCCCCCACTAGATGATAAGTTCCTTAAGGACAGGGACTTGACTTTTTCTTATTTGCATCCCCAGCGCTTAGCAGAGTGCCTAGCCCATAGTAGACAATAAATGTTTATTGTATTGTATTGTTTTAAAGGATGGATAGGAATTCTTAGGTGAAAAGGGGCAGGGAAGATATGCCAGTCATAGCATATATCTTGGGCAAAGGCCTAGGATTTTTCTTTATACAAGTGTTTTTGTAAAGTTTTAAAGAAGACTTTTAAGAGAATTCAGCAATCTTTGTTCTTGAAGACCTTCTACATTTAAAATGTTTATGATGTTCAGGGTACCTTCATAGATCAATGTAGGTAACCAGGGTTTTCTCCAGGGATTTTGTAAATGTAAGGGTAGATTGCAAATATGATTCATTGTGGATATGGCCCAGTGCTTGATATGTGATTTTTAAAAAAGGGAAACAAAATGATTTCAGATGACTTACATAAAATGAGATAATAATTGTAAAACACTTTGCAAACCTTAAATAACCAAATGCTAGCTATTACGATGTTGATGATGATGATAATGACTATTGTGATGGTGACATCCCCAACATCATTGTTTCTGCTAATACCTCTCTATTTGGCCAGAGGTTTATTTGTTGAGATAAATCAGATGAAATCTAATATTCTACAACTCTAATTTTGTAGCCTAGAAATGTGGATAGAAAGCTGGCATATGTGAAGTCAAAGAAGGTAATGACTCTACATACTAGGCACTTGGCAATAATGTTGGAAGTCATTCCTTGGTGAAGGGGAATGAATTAGGGACTGGTTCCCCTAGAGAACTCATTTTGTTACCTGCCATATCCCCACCCCACTTGATTACAAATTCCTTGAAGATAGAGACCATTAAAACAATGTGACAAATGGTAGTCAGGTTTTTAGCTCTGCCCATTAAATTTTCATTTATCCATAATATAGCCCAAATAATAAATTGATCATATAGTTCAACAACATTATGGGTTAAACAGAATATTTGTGGTCAGCATAATTTGATAGATTTGTAATTTAATGTTATTTGTGATATTGTTTCTACAGGAAAAGTAATTCTTTAGCATGAGAACATACTAGGTACTTCATGTCTTTCTCCTCACCATCTCCCCTGCCTAGCTGTTAGCTCCTTGCCCTACAAGGGCAGAAGGAATGGGATGGCATTCCGAGGAGAAGGAAGGACAAGTGGCTCGTAGAACACTTCTTATTCTCAATGGCTGGCTCCCTACATCAAATCTGGGAGTGCCTACAATGTTACAATCGTAGTAAAAGGATTGGATTATCTAAATCCAATTCAACCAAACAACTTATTAACTGCAAAGCACTGTCCTGCTTTGATAGAGGGAAGTAACAAAGCTAAACTAGTTAAGATCCTTCTTCAAACAGCTTAGTCTATTTAGGTGAAGGAGATGCAACACATTTATAAATAATTATATTGCAGAATATAGTTTCTTTTTCATTTTTATGTACCAGGACTGAGTACAGTACTCTATTCTGAGTACAATGGAGTTACTTTTTCTTTTCCTTCACCTAAGATATCCAGGCTGAGTCTTCTCTCTTACCTCCATATCTTTCCTACCCATCCCCTCCTCTCTTTTCCCATTGCCACCTTCTTAATGTTTATCAGAATCTATTCAATGGCCATAGTCGTTGGAATTTCAACTTCTTTGGCTGTTATTCGAGGTCCTCCACAATCTGACCTCACCCTATATTTCCAATCTTCTTATATTACTCCCTCAGTGAACCCTATGCTCCCATCAGATTGGACAATGCCCCCCAAACCTGCACAGTGTTCAGCCTTAGTACCTTTGCTCAGGCTTTTCCTATGTATGGAATGTCATCCCCTCTTCTCTATGCCTGTTGAATTTCCATCCCTTCTTTAAAACCTGACTCAAATACTACCTCTTCCCTGAAACTTTCTTTCATCTGGGTTGGTACATCAATTCTTCCCCACCCCACCCCCACCCCCCCACCTCAGCCGAAAATCTTGCCTCATATTTTACAGAAAGAATTGAGGCCAATCACTGTGAGCTCCTTCTTCTCTCTTCTTCTTCATCTCCTGTCACTTAGGTTCTTTCTGCCATTCTCTCCTCCTTCACCCCTGTCTCACATGATGAAGTGGCCTTACTACTTTCTAAGGCTAACACCGCTACTAATTGTTCAAGTAATCCCATGCCATCCTAACTCCTCCAACAAATTGCCCCCTCTGTCATCCCCACTCTTTCGCTTACTTTCAATCTCTCCTTCTCTACTGGTGTATTTCCTACTGCTTACAAACATGCCTGTCTTCCCTATACTGAAAAAACCCTCACTTAAGCCTTCCCTCTCAGCTGTAATCCTATGTATCTCTTCTGGTGTTTGTAGCTAAATTCCTCAAAAAGGCCATCTACAATAGGTGCCTCCACCTTTCCTCCTCCCACTCTCTTCTCAATCTCTTACAATCTGACTTCCTGCCTTATCATTCCACCAAAATTGCTCTCTCAGAAGTTACCAATGATCTCTTGGTTGCCAAATCCAATGCCTTTTTCTAGCTCTTCATTCTCCTTGACCTCTCTGGGGCCTTTAATACTACTGATCACTCTCTCGTTGATAGTCCCTTCTCTCTGGGTTTTTGGGACACCAGTCTCTCTCCTGGTTCTTCTCTTATCTATCTGATTGCTCCTTCTCATTTTTTTTTCATTTGTTGATCTTCTTCCAGATTACACCCTCTAACCTTAGGTGCCCCTCAGGGTTCTGTCCAGGGCCCTCTTCTCTTCTCTCTTTATACTACTTCACCTGGTGATCTCATCAGTTACCATGGATTTAATTACCATCTCCATGCTGATGATTCTCAAATCTACCAATCCTACACCAATACCCTGCTAACCTCTAGTCTCAAATCTCCAACTGCCTTTCAGACTTGAACTGGATTGTCCCATAGACATCTTAAACTCAAAATGGAACTCATTATTTCCCCCACCCTCCAAATCCTCCTTCTCCACCTTCCTCTATTGCTGTAGAAGGCAACACCATCCTTCCAGTACCTCAGGCTCACAACCTAGGAGTCATCCTGCATCGCTCACTATCTAACCCTGAAAATCCAATCTATTGCCAAGGCCCGTTGATTTCTTCTTTGCAACATCTCTCCAATATGCTCCCTTCTTTGACGTTGCCACCAGTCTATTTCAGGCTCTCATCAACTCACACTTAGATTACTGCAATAGTCTGCTGGTGTGTCTGTCTGCCCTAAGTCTCCACTCCATTCAGCTTCTAAAGTGATTTTCCTGAAGCCAAAGTCCCATCATATTCACTCCCTACTCAATAAAGTCCAGTGGCTTTCTCTGCCTCCAGGATCAAATACAAAATACTCTGGCATTCCAAGCCCTTCAAACCTAGCCCCCTCCTACCTTTCTAATCTTCTTACACCTTGCTCCCTGCCCTTCACTCTGACTCAGTGACACTGACCTCTTGGCTGTTTGAAGAACAAGACACACCATCTCTTGAATCTGAGCATTTTCTCTGGTTGTTCCCCATGCTTGGAATGCTTTCCCTCTTCCACGATGACTACTGATCTCCCTGGCTTCTTTGAAGTCCCAACTAAAAGAAGGCTTCACCAACACCTCTTAATCCCAGTGCCTTCCCTCTATTATCTCCTCTTGATTCTGTATATTACTTGCTCTGTATGTATTTGTTTGCAGGTTGTCGCCCTCATCAGAGACTATCTTTTGCCTCTTTTTTGCATCCCAGTGCCTGGCACAGTGCCTGGTACACAGTAGGCACATAATGAATGGTTACACACATACAGAGCCATATATGATATTGCTGTAAAATTGACAAGACTTGGCAGCTGATTGAATGTATGAGAGGAAAAAAAGAAAATAATCAAAGGCAGCAGAGTTTGTAGCACCGGTAAGAATTAATCAAAAGTGGTGCCTCTGACAGGTGTCACAGAGCAGCTTTGGGGGAAGAAGGCATTATTGGAGGGGAACTCGGAAGTCATTAAAACCAATACCCTCTTTTTGCAGAAACCGAGGCCCTCCAGGTTAAGTAATTTGCCTAGAGTCACACAGCTAGTAAACATTTGAAGCAGTTTGTGAAACTAGGTTTTCCCGATTCAGGTCCAGCACTCTATTCCCCTGTACAAAAGATAAGTTAGACTTTAGGAATACCCTATATCTTTCCACTTTTCCTTGGAGGATATTGGGGGAGGGGGAGGAGGGAGACCCTTCAAGTGTGATGATGCTCCAGGAGGTGGGTGAGGGTAAATGAGGCAGGAAAACTCTCCGGTGCCCTTAGGCCTCCTAAGAATTTGGTGAGGCTGCTTGGCGGAGTTTGTCTGTGCCTCCAGTAGAACCTATGTGTCTGTCAAAGCGGCAGCCTTCCAAAACGGTCCCCGTCTGAAAAACCGACGGACTGCGGTAGAGACGAGGTCTCTCGGTTGGAGATCTCAGCAATCAGTGTCAGAATCACAAATCAGTACTGCAATCTGACCCCCAAGGGATATGCATGCAGCCTTGGGCTCTGGCAATCAGGGTAGGAATTCTGTGCTCGCTCCTGTGTCTGGGGGGGTTGGGGTGAGGGGAATGAAGGTGTTCCTTCGCTTGGCAGCCCCCTTCCCCCACCGCCCAGCCCTCCAACGTCAAGGTCTTCTGCAACTAGGCAATAGCACTCTTTTCCTCTCTTCCTCCTTTCCTAATCCAAGAAGTCGCTCGGGCTTCTTGGAAGCAGGACAGAAGGTGGAATCCCGAGAGCGGGCACAGAAGTAGCGAGCTGGCCGCATGCCCGATGAGAGGGAGGGATGACGTGGAGTGCGAGAAGAGGGAGGGCCCGCGCGCACACGCACGCTCCCGCGCGCGCGCCCGCCCCGCTCGCTCGTCCTCTGGGCCGCCTGGCCGCTAAGTCTCGCGATGCCTTAGGCCGCGGCTCCCGCTGCGGGTGCCTCTGCCGTTGCTGTGGTTGCCTTAGTTGCTGCGGCGGCGGTGGCGGCTCCGGTGGAGGTGTTGGCCCCGGAGCGGATGTTGACATTGTGTGTTTTTACTGCTTGACGGTAATGGCGGCGGCGGTGACGGCCGGGACCCCGTCTGCCCTCCTGTAGTCCCGCCAGGAGAACCGGCGACGGAGCAGGACGAGCTGAGCGGCCCTCCCCGAGCGCCGGCGGTTGCGACTCTTGCCTTCACCCTTCGGTCGTTCTCTCACCCCAGCCCCAGGACTCAAGCCCCCTTCGGGCCGGGGCGGGGAGGGGGGAGGGCCTGCGAGGCCTCAGCATGGCGGATTTCGACGAGATCTACGAGGAGGAGGAGGACGAGGAGCGGGCCCTGGAAGAGCAGCTGCTGAAGTACTCGCCGGATCCCGTGGTGGTTCGCGGCTCCGGTCACGTCACCGTGTAAGGCCCGGAGGAGGGTGCGGGAGAGGACGGGGAGGTGGAGGGCAGCGGCTGGGCCCCCTCACCGCGACGCCCATCCGGGGCCTTGTGGCCTGGGCTGGCGACCAGGAAGCGCAGGGACATGTCTTCTCTCCTTCTCCTTCTTTCTCTCTCTCTCTCTCTCTCTCTCTCTCTCTCTCTCTCTCTCTCTCTCTCTCTCTCTCTCTCTCTCTCTCTCTCCCTCTCCTTCTCCCTCTCTCTCTCCCTCTCCCTCTCTCCTTCCCTTTCCCTCGTTCCTCTTCTCTCTCTCTCCTTCGTCTCCTCTCTCTTCTTCCTCTTTCTGCAGGCCCCGCAGGCTTCGATGTCACGGAAAACGGTTTCTCTTCACTTATCCATTCTTCCTTCCACCCCAGTGTGGAAGCAAGCAGTCCTTTCGGTCATTTGCCTCCTCCCTTCTTGGCTTTTCTTCTCCTTAACCTTGGTTTCTTTTCCTTCTGTGCCCGGTGACATGTAGCTCAGGCTGTGTAGAAATGGACATAAAGACCCTAATGAAAATTAATCATTCGCTAGTGTTTCGTGTCAGAGAGACAGAGAGAGATCACAGGGGTGTTCCTAGTTTCCGTAAGTATGTTAGGGTTCTTCTGTGCAAAACCTCCCAAGGTCCTGTGCTTGCTCGTGATTTTGGTTTAACATGCCGCTTAAAATGTGGGAAGATAACTAGTACCTCCAAAATTAAAAACACAAAACCCAAACCCTCCAATTTGGATGAGCATAGACAACACCATTCACATTGTTGTCATTCTTCTCCAATATAGGTAGGTACCTGTGGCTCCTTCCTCCTTCAATTCTGCTGTTATCCATTCCTCTTTAGAATATACCTTTATCTCACTTCATAAGATTTAATGAAGTCTCAGCAAACGACATTTAACACCCAGGCATTAGGGAAACAGTAAGAAAAAAAACCCCTGTCTTCTGGGTTTGTGACTAATATAGGAATGTGAACACTTGAACCAAATAATGAGCTGTCCGGAAGTAGGAAGTTTTGTAATGTTTCTCTGAAAACTAGTTGTGTACAACTTAAAACATTATTTTTGTTCTTTTCATTACAAATCAAACCAGATAATATTTGTAAAACATCTAGCATAGTGCACACAGTAAGCACTTAATAAATGAATAAATGCTTGTTCTCTCATCATAGACTCAAGTGCCATATTTATTAGTTAGTTACATAATTTGCTTTTTACAGAAGAGTGCCTGTTAGTGATTAGTATACTTTTAAACAATTTTTATTGCTTTTTGTAATGTAGCGAATAGGATACTAACTTTAGCTTTTGGCCAAATAGATTTCGGACATATCATTGTTAATAAAAAAAATCCGTTTCTCAGCAAACCAGTAGGCTATCATCTTGTTATTTGGATGAGCTTATGTAATACTCTAGTTTCTTTGGCACCTATTAGTTTACAAAGCTAGGCATTGGATAGGAACTGTCACACCCCATGCCTGGAGCACCATTACAATATATAATGTTTTTTCACAATTAATTGTTAATAAATTAACTAGCACACCAGCAAAAGTAATAAACATAGCAGATTACATAGATAATAAATACTATGTCACATCACAGCACATCTTTAATAGTGCAACTTCTGGACACCTAAAATTACCCTAGTAGTTTTTTAAAACATCATTTATTTTAGAATATTTTAACTTTTTCCAGATTGTCACATAGCCTTTTAGTTTAAAAGTGATTTTGCACATGTTACGTTCTTTATTTCTCACAACACCTACTGTGAAGTAGGTAGATATGATTGCTCAGAATAATGGCTCCCAAACTTTTATACCTAGAGTTCACTCTCTTTTGCATTAAAAATTTTCTTGAGACTTAGTAGTAGTAGTAGTAGAATAATTTCTCTTGTAACTGCGAGGGAAGAGGCTAATTTGATTGAAAGAAAAAGAAAATATATTGAGGGAAGTGGTAAGTTCAGAACAGGGCTCAGAACATAATAAGTGATAAATATTGATTAAATATTGACCACTTGGAAGGGGCCAGCAAGGGAGGGAGAGAGCATAGGTTCAGAAGAGGAAGTTTATTTTACCAAAAAGTAGCAAAGCGGTTCCAGATTGGAAATCTATGTCCCTTAGATCCCCCTTGCTTCTTCCTCCCTTGGATTATCTTTATTTCCAATTTGAGGAAACCTGATTGAGAGAATAGTACTTACAAAGTAGGATTGCTATTTCCAAATATAAAATAACTCACTAATATTATCTTAGCCGAATGATAACTTGCTATCTCTAGAAGATAGCATTAAATTGAGTTTTTGAAGTACTTAGTTACCTCAAGACTCAGGTTTGTGTCACCTCTATTGAGAAACCTTCCTGATTCCTTTTTGTCCTTTGTATGTCAATACTGTCTTCTTCCTCACATTATTTTGTATTTACTTATTTATATATGTTGTATTACCCAGTGGAATGTAAGCTTCTCAAAATCTCTTTGGATTGCCTTTGTCCCCAGGACCAAGCAAAGAACCATGTATGTAGAAGGCATTTACTCATTGTTTTATGAGATGGTCAAAGACTGGATGAATGCATAGAGAATGCGTCCCCTTGATGGAAATCTTAATGTGATAGAAACTTAACAGAGACGTTAATTCCATCTAGAGGGAGGAGAAATGCACTTAGTAGAGGGCCTTCTCTCAGTGTTATGACTGATGACATTTAATTTTCTTAATTTCAAATAGAAATAAGACCTTACAGTGAAAAAACTAAGTGATTGAACTCATTACTTTTTTTTTACTAAGTGGCTATTAGACAATTTCCATTGACCAGCTTGATAAATTTAAACTCAAATGTATAAAAATTATTTTTTAGTATAGATGAGTAATGAGATATGGAAATCTATAATGTACTTCATAGATATTTTTGAGCAATATTTTATTATGTTTAATCTAATTTCATTACTTCAGAGTTTTCTATTCATAGATCATTAGAAGATAAAAGGGACCTTAGGTATCATGTAGTTTAACTCCATTTTACAGATGAGTAAATTGAATATCGAAGAGGTTAAGTGATTTTTCACACAAGTATTGGGATTTGAACTCTAGATCTTCTGACTCTAAATTCAGTACTTTTCTTTCTCATTTATTATTATTATTTTTTTAAGCAGTTGGAGTTAAGTGACTTGCCCAGGGTCACACAGCTAGGAAGTGTCAAGCATTTGGTCTGAGGCCAGATTTGAACTCAGGTCCTTCTGACTTCAGGGCCAGTGCTCTATCCACTGCACCACCTAGCTGCCCTTTTTCTTTCTCTTTTAAGAAGAAATTAATTGCTTTAACTTTTTTCTTTTCAGAATCTGCTTTATCTTTCCCACTTCCCACCTCCAAAAAGAAAATTAAAGCTCTTATAACAAATATTTATACTTAAGCAAAACAAATTCTCACATTGGCCATGTCCAAATATACACACACATATGCATCTCACTGGTACTCTGAATCCTCCATTACTTCATTGTTAGGGTGTGACTATTATGTTTCCTCATGAGTCCTCTGGAATTTGTGGTTGGTCATTATGTTGATCAAGAGTTCTTAAGTGTTGTTTGTTTTTCAAATATTGTTTTTGTATAAATTGTTGTGGTTCTTCTCATAGTGTTCTGTATCAGTTCATACAAATCTTCCCAGATTTCTCTTGAAATTGTCCCCTTTATCATTTCTTTCAATACAATGCAGTACCATAAACAGTCATTCATTAAGTACCTACTATGAGCCACATACTGTGCTGAGTACTGCACAGTAATATTCCATCACATTTATATATCATAACTTTAGACATGTTCCATTTGATGGATTCCCCTTGCAAGTTTCCCATTCTTTGTCACCATAAAAAAGGCTATTATAACTATTTTTGTACATGTGTCTTTTTGCTCTTTTTCTCCTTGGGGTATAGACATAGTAGTGCTATTGCTAGGTTAAAGGGTGTGCACAGCTTAATAACTTTTGGAGCATAGTTCAGACTACCATGGCTGTACCAATCCATAGCTCCACCAGTAGTGCGTATTGTCATACCTGTTTTCCCACAGCCCCTCCAGCATTTGTTATTTACCTTTCTTAAAATTAGTTTTGCCAATCTGATAGGTATTTGATAAAACCTTTGAGTTGTTTCAATTTGCATTTCTTTCATTATTGGTGTAAATCTCATACTTTCCCCACTGTTCCATGTCTAATTTAATGTAAATATAGTGCCATTTTATTTTTATTTGTAAATCATGTTTAGAACTTGCAGACATTATTGAATAATGGTGAAAATGGGCAAAAGTAGGTTACCTTTTTATTTTTTAAAAGTAAGTAATCCAGGGAGCAGCTAGGTGGCGCAGTGAATAGAGAGCACTGGCCCTGAAGTCAGGAGGACCTGAGTTCAAATTCGGTCTCAGACCAAACACTTGATACTTACTAGCTGTGTGACCCTGGCCAAGTTGCTTAACCCCAGTTGCCTTAAAAAAAAGGTAAGCAATCCATTTCATTCTATATTATGATTTTCAGATATTAATTCTCCATCCACCAACCCTGCTATGGCCTTCCCTTATAACAAAGGATGATAGTTAAACAAAACCAAATGTAGTGACTGTGTTTGACATTATATGCAATATTCTCATTTTTCCCCTTTTGTTTTGAAAGGTCCAGGTTGGTTTGGAGGCTAAGCTGGTGTGTGGGAAATCATATTATAAAATGTGTAGTGTTATGTAAACAAAATATACTTCACTGTGGTTTTAATATAAAACCTCTTAAGACTGACAGCAAATTAGATTCCCCCTTTGTTTTCTCCTCAATCAGTACACTTGAAAATTGCCTGAATAATGTTTTCTTTGGGCATCAGAAATGTATTTCAGTTGCGTTAATGAAGTAGACAGCTCCAAAGTAGAAGAACTATCACTGAAAATACATATTCTGAGGAAAAGGAACAGCAAAGAGGGGATGATAACAAAAGTACCATTTTAAAATGCATGCAGAGTGATTTTGTGCCTGTCCCT